TTTGCACATGGCAGTTTATGCCCGGGTATCGTCTATGTGTGGGAAACACTGGAGTTACTGAACTCCACAGGAGGACAGTGGTTTACAGTGAAGTCCAACACAATAACAGAATGCCTCTTGATTTTTAATTTTCTGTCATTTACCCCAACTAAAACATGTTGATGCACATATCTAAACGTCAAGTTTCAGCCACCACAAGAAGGCAGCCACTGTTCAGCAGCACTACACTGTCATGAATAATTGAGTTCTTCTATCTGCTCTACTGGGATCCTATTGCTTCACTACCGATCAGCAGCTTTGTTGCCGGCTGGGTCGCCCTGCAAAGATGTCGGCTTCTTCACTCACAGCAGTCGGTTCCATCTAAGAACTACTGTAATCCTCCCCGTGTCTCCTTTTTTTTTTTTTTATTGCATGAGTCGTTTAAGGTTATGTATTCAGTTTGAGATGTGCAAAGAGAGTCAAAGAGAACAAAAGCAGCAAATGGATTCACTTAGTCAAAAGTTTGCCTTGCACTCTTAATACATCATCATTCGTAAAATAGTTCATTTAAGCTGCAGCGTCGAGGGGAACTGAAGTGAGTTCTCCTGAGGTTAGAGAGAAATGAACACTTCTTTGAGGCTGAATATTTTTGGGGCGCAGAGAAAGGAAGAGGTTAGATCAAAGCAACACAAACATTAAACAGACTGTTTCACGCCCCGGTCTTATCACCCCCCCTCTATTTTTTTTCTACATGTTGTTTGCATTTTTAATTACAGCTCAATCAAGTGTTTGAGCACAGCAGCCAATTAATTATCCAAATTCAATTCAAAGCATGTTTGAATGTAGTTAATGATTTATTTTCTCGGGGAAGATAAGACCACAAGCTCCACACTCGCACACCGAGCTGATTCAGCTGCTAAAGTAACATGTTACTTTGATCTGCTAACATGCGTCCGAGTTAAGCTCTATGCCATCAGAGCCGTTCCATGGCGCTCATGCAGAGCCAGTCAAAGTCATCGTGGAGCTCAGCCAGATACACTTGTCTTGAAATGTGCTGCGAGTTGGTGATTTGAGTGGAGAGAACAGGAGTGAGTAAGAGTCTGTCATGCTTCCTCTGCAGAGATTGGCCAATCAGAGACTGGAGATTTGTTTACATTAAAACTACTCAGCACAGTCCATTTAAACTTCTGTGACGATCTGTGTGTTTGGTAACCTCTGCATCGTTGAATGATCTCGGCCGTGTTTTCAAATAAGAGCCAACCAGAATGCAAAGGCTGTCCTGAAGGATCTTCAGCACCCCCTGCATACAGAGTTTAGACTTCTGACGACAGGGAGGAGGTTCACTTCTGTTAGGAGGGCCAAACCAAACCTTCGTTGCAAACCAAATAGCCCCTCGGGGACAATAATTTTCCAATCCAATCAAGTTGCATATAAAGGACACCAGACTTTGACATACCAACAATTGTTTTCCAATCTTTGGAGACACATGCCAAAACATTTAATTTAAGTATATCAGTATTAAGACTTAGTTTCTGTCATTGATGATGGAGTAACTTTGATGGGAAGATAATTTCTGTGTGTTGATGGGAAATTGAAGAACCAGTATGAGGCTCTCATTTCAAAGGGGCTCTTGTGTGTTGCCATGTCGTCTTGTCATTTCTATTTGACTTTCCCCCAAAAATCGAGTTGTGAAATCTAAATGAGGAAGCCGTTAGAGTGTTATTTGATTAATTGAAAAGCATTTCATCTAATTAGCCTTGCAAGAACTTGGGACACTCCTAAGTACCCTGCAGATTCAGACAAACATTACACCTGCACAGGATCCTCAATGCAAAATATTGAGATATCCTAAATGACAAATGAACAGAATTGCATCTTAATTTGCACTCCTTCTGTAACTTCAAACTCTAAAGTAAATAAAGGCTTTAGCTTTCTGCTGGCATTTTTATAGTTCCGTTCAATAGTCTCTGATAACTGCAGTGTCAGTGTAGACCCAAGACGACCGTAATGATTGGCCACTTGAGGAAGTCTTTTAACTGAAACAAATGTGATTGGCAGAATAGAAAGTAGATGAGGCAGAAACGGCTCAGGGCTGCAGTCTCCCATGGGCCTCCTACTGATAAATGGTTTGCCATTCTTCCCTCTAACCATCATTAAAAATGTCCAATCATTAAAAGCTGCAGTTCTGTGTAACCCGGGTCCTGCTGCCTCCCAACACTGATGGGAGAGATCCCCTCCAGCTCAGCCAGCCTCCTCTCTCCTCTTGTGGGAAACATTAAACTGCACTCCAGAGTGTGTGTGAACTAAAGCAGAGTTACACCTTGTTTACTGTGCACTGATTATCAGGTTTATATGAACAGGAGGTCAGATGCTAACAAATACTGTTGCTCAAATTTGGAGAAAACAGGAACAATTTTAAGCACATCTTAAACATGCACTGCACTCCTGAAAATGTCCCCATGATGCCCAGGGGTGACGAGTGTGTGTGCACACGAACGGCTTAATGTGTTCACCTAGACTTTCTGCAGACTTCTCCCGCCAGAGAAATTATCTATCTGGCATCCGTACCCTGCTTAAGCACGATTGCCCCCCCTTCCCCATTCCCCCAATGGCCGGCACGACCTGCGCTCACACTGCTCCAGGACAAACCAGGCCTAAGCACGGTAACCTCTTGTAGGCTACATAACGTCGTAATACAGCACATGCATGGCTTTATGTTATTATGAAGTGTTCTCCGTTTACAAACAGGCGGACTCGAGAAAAAAAGGGAGGGTTTAAAGAACCTTCTTTCTCTCTTTGACTTGTTTGATGCAAAAGAAGCTTCACGACTATAGGGAGGAGCATCCTCAGAGGTTATCTGTTACGAATGTTTCTACGTCGTTCCGCTCCCCTTGACTCCTGTTTCCACATAGACTCCCTACAAGAGCTCACTGGTTGTTACTGGAGCTGTATTTGGGCAGAGTGGGATGAAACAGGTGGTGACGAGTGAGGGGCATTGGAGAGAAGGCTACTGCATAAGCCATGTAAGCCCCCCTGCTGTCTCTTCAGACCACATACCATCCCAGCATGGATCACTTAGTTGTGTGTGTGTGTGTGCTTCCATGTGCTTACTTGTTTTTCTCTTGGGTTTATAATTTGGCAGAGAAGCCCCCCTGCTGCTATCTTACTAACTGCAATGTTGCTTAAAGAGACGATGTTGGAGCGGTAGTTTGTTGCAGTGTACTCATACCCGTCCCTGTTCATTCCGTTGTGCACTCGTGAAAGCTCACTGAGTAAAAAGGAATATGATTTGGATTCTTTAAAAGGACCCTGATGATTTTAGAGGAGGGGTGGGGGGGAGCTGGGCCTTTGTGTTGTGTGATTCATTTAATCGGTGTGAAAATCCTCAAGGCCTCATTGATAACAAATTAATTTCACAACTTTGGTGCTATCCAAACCTGTCCTCCACCAGTCCAGCGCTCCCCTCGCTGCCAAACATGCCCTCTGCTGCTCGTTTGAATGCATAATTAACAAGATAACACCCTTTGCTGAATTGTGTGATGATTGTGTTTTTAAAGGAGTGAAGGGTGGGTTGATGATGTCATCTCCCATATCACATTTACATGAACATTGGAAACCAGGTCACTGGGAGAAAGCGATCTATCTAAAATATTTTTTTATGGAAAGAAACATTTATTCTCATTACCATGCCATGGAGTTGGGTTACTATCAAACGCTAAGAATAATTGCATGTGACATATAAATGCACTGATTTATACTTGTATACTCAAGTGGTATACGCTTCTCCAAACAGCACTTAAAGACAAAAGCCTGGTTTATACTACTGGCCTACGCCGTTGTGAGCACTAGTACATTGTTCGTGTACAGATAACCATGGCGACTGAATCTGAGCCTGTTATGTTGAAGCTAATAAAGGGCGTTCTGACCTTCTGCAGAAAAGTTGTAAATGCAGGAATTGCGACTCTACCCAACAGACCAATCACAGGGCTTGCAGTTACAGCAAATCAATGCATAGTGACAGTTTTGAGGTGGCGACCATCAGGCTTTGAGTTAGACATGTCTGACCACGGGGAGAAAATTTGGCACCGCCTCCTGTCTGTCACACGCCTCTCTGTCACACGCCTCTCTGAGCTGCTTTGATTATCATTTTTAGTCATAGTTCTAGAAAATGATAACATATTTTTTTTAATGATTTATGATGTTTTGTTTTAAAATGTCTGGCCTAGCGTTCTCTTTTCCATTTTCAGTGTTTGTATTTTAGTACAGAGGATGGTCAGTGTGGATCTATAACATAACGAGGGAGAGATTTGTCCCCTTGTTTATAGTTTCTCTTAACCCCCCCTTCTCTCTCTTTAACGATAGAAGAGTTGTGATTGTGAAATTAAACAGTTTACTGCTGCATGAATATTAAAATGAGCTGTTGCTTTTATGTAGAGTGGAGAGTAAAGTTTGCTCAGGGGAGCGACCGACCAAAGGCACTTATTCTGTAGGCAAACACTGCCTCTGATTGGGCCGTTTACTGGACAATCAATCTTTATTTGCATAGTGCCAATTCATAACGCGTGTTATCTTTAGACACTTTACAAAAGAGCAGGTTAAAGACCGAACTCATTGTTAAGAAAAATGGGATAGAAGGAGATGGGGTAAGATGCAAGAAGGATTTCTCCTTTGCATTCCCCACATTCCTGTTGTTCACACTTCCTTGCTGCTGAGGTGGAGGTCGGAGCAGGCCGTGTGTGAGAGAGGACAGCGGTGGTTGTGGTGACGATACAGTCTGATGGTGGTGGATGGGTGTCAGTGACGTCGAGTGGTAGTAGTGCCTGATCACCTCGCTGAAGGTTGGGGGTTGGGGGACGTCTGTGTCGTCAGGGTTTAAGATTGCACTGCTAGCTTTTTATTTTATTTTTTAGAACAAACTCTTTCATTACAGCATCTTTTGGATTGTAATGAAACCTCCTACCAATTAGCAAACACCTTCTAAGTTTCCCCCTAATCACACCTTTGCATCTTTTCCTCAACAGGAAGTATTGTGGGACCTTTGCCCTGTTGACCGTGTGGAGATACACTTTTCTCCAGACCCCTGCACTCAGATGGATTAAAAGGTGAGCTTGTCTACTTTCATTACAAATTGCATTCGTTATGCTCTTTGCTTATCTGTCTGTATGTAAAGCCTGGTGCTGGTCAGAGCATTGTGTTGTGGTGGTGGTGGTGGAAGAATTACTTTTTTGCTTATTCAGCAAATACTGAGTACAACTAGTACTCAGAGCCTTTTGGACAATGTCCCACTCGTGATGAGAGGTGTCTGATCGTTATTGATGATATGATGATCGACCTCATATTCTACTGGACACCTGAGCCGACTCGTTTAGGTTTACCTGTAGGCACAGGGAAATGGATCTACCGCGGCTGCTTAATATTTCAACATGTCCCATCCCAAACGGATGGTATGTAGCACAGCTTTAGGGATTCTATTCAGGTTTTGTCTTGCGTATTGGACTATGTCACTAACTTGTTTGCTACATTTAACTCCTTTTATACATGACAATACCAACCACGTGCAGATGACGCATATATTTGTGTATGTTTGAGAATACAACAGAATCGGGACCTCATAACTACCGTATTGGTCCGAATATAAGACAGCCTTTTTCCCCATCGAAATAGGTCCGAAAAAGTCGGGTCGTCTTATATTCGGGGTCTAGTATTCAGAGCGCAGCTCTAATTGTTCGCCTGTCCCTTTAAATGTCAATACACATGACGTGCTCTGGAAGGAGCAGGGGAGTGATGACAGTAAGAGAGAACACAGCGGGGCGGAGGACGTGTGTGAGGAATAGGAGACATCGGAGGAGAAGTTTGGCGAGCTTTAGTTTAGTTTAAGATGTGGCCTGTATTTCCTCTGTTATTCCTCTGTTAATGTTGAATCATACTGTACATAGTTCGCCCTTGTGAAACACTTTGTTTTGAAAAGTGCCGTAGGCCTATACCGATAAATACGGTATGTTAATTATAATTATTAATACAACAGGTGTTTAATTCAATGTGTTTTAAATATTGTTATTTTCAAATAAAATGAAGTTCTTTAAAAAAAGTTCTTTATAAAAACAAGATCTGGTCTGCAAATCTTTTTTTTTCTAAATATGAGTGTTGAAAAACGGGGGTCGTCTTATATTCGGACCAATACGGTAATTTCTTCAGACTGTGGGATAGAAATAGTTTCTTTAGCCCTTTTCACACAGCTTTTCCAGCTGTCATCACGTCTTTGTACATTCATATTGATTCCATTATGGTTAATGTAGGTGTCCCAGTCTGTAAATTCACATTGTGTATCAGCGTTGTTGAAACACGGCACGGCAGGAGCTCCACATACACACACAGTCAGACATGCACACACACAGGGCTGCGCTCCCCTGCTGGCTCCGCTGTTCCCGTCTCTCCTCTATATCGCCTCTGTTACTACCTGTTATGAGGATTCACTTCAGGGTCTTTAGCAGTAGGCGTGGTTAGTAGGAGGAGAAGCAGGGTCAGTACTGATGACACACCTGAGGGGGGGTGTGGTGGCTCTGTCTCTGTCTCTGTAATCTTCATTAGCAGCACCTGCGGAGGAGCCGGGGGGAGTTGGTTTCGAGTCGAAGAGACGCCACAAGGACGCAGGCACCTGAGAGACTGGGTCTGAAGTGACGTTTGTTTTTGTTTTGGCACTCCACGGGTGCTTTTTGCACATGAACTGGACTGATGTGGGGGAGAGGGCTGGCGGGGGAGATCGTACCCCAGGTGGCTTCGTGGATCGGGCTTTTCTAGTGAGCTGGTCGCGGCACGTGCCAGGATCTTTGGGAGTGGGTCGCCTACACGTGCCCCTCAAGCGGACAGGACAGTTGCACACACATTCAGGTGGGGCAGGATGCACATTCACGTTTGTGCAGCACGTAAGGAGAGGCATTTGGGTTACGGCAGGGGTGCCCAACCTTTTTTGAACCAAGATCTACTTTTAAAGTTGCCAGTCTGCCGAGATCTACCAGTCCACATAGTGAGCCATAGCCTTTACCGACAGCCTACAATTGCATTTAATACTCAAACAACAAACAGAAAATAATATCAGATATAATAAATGAGAGTTCTGTAAAAAATAATGCAATATCGACATACTTTTTTTAAAACTCTTATTTTAGGGTAGGCTACATTTTAATATTACGTTTGTATTTATATCACATATGTTTTTCCCTTAATTTAGTTTACAACAAACAACTTTAATCTGTGTGGAGATGTTCACAGACTACAGCAGGCTGTTGTGAGATGATGTTGCTTTTGTTAAATTAGCTGCAGACACGGTGAGAGTGAACGGAGTAAAGTCCAACCGACCGTTTGACCGGGTCACGTGTGTTCCCGCCTCGGTCCGTACGGATCACGGATCAACTGTATGCTGTAGCACTAAAAGTAAAAAGTAAAAAGGTTCGCGTGGTGGCTGGCGCTCCAGTGCAAGTGTGTGTGTATGCGTTTGTGCTGTATGTTGGTGTGCCCCGCGATGCTCACAGTCATGACAGCAGAGAGGAGCAGAGAAAAGTAGCTGCAGCTACATCAAATGCGCTTAATACTTGTAGCATAGTTTCTATATATGACTTTTTTGTAAAACATTTACCCCCCCGGTTTTACCTGCACGTCCTTGCGCATGCCTGCACTCTCTCTCTTGCGCGCGCTCGCTCTCTCGCTCGCTCTCTCATGCACGCAGCAATTTCATGAATAAATGAAAAATTAAATACAAACAGGTCGGAAGTATACTTGGGCTCCCAACACAGGTATCGTGTGTGGGAAACAGTGCAATGAGATGAAATTGAAATCACTTTTCTATTTTACAATTGTATTTTATATTGACTAAACATCTCGCGATCGACTGAGAATCAGTCAGCGATCTACCTGTCGATCGCGATCGACTGTTTGGGCACCCCTGGGTTACGGGCTCACTGGCCTTGGCCTGGGTGCTGGGATAGCATTTAGCTGTGGGGTTGTGTGTTAGCCCGTAACACTACCTCTGAAGAGGGTAGAGAATAGTGGTGTGCAAAACTGATCAAATTGCTAAACCTTTACACGTCGGGCCAAAAACGTTTAAATGTTAACACGCGTTTAAACAAAACAAAAAAAACGTCCCTCTCGACTACTGCAGAGAGATAAGACACAGCAAGAGTGCAAAATCACATCAGCAGAGAGATTGGGGGAGAGAGCGATAAGGTCCACTGTCTGTACATCCCTCTTGTAAATGCACCGCTGTTGCTTTGTGCATTGACATGCTCATGTTACCACGTTTAAAAAAAAACACATTAACGTTTCAACGGTTGGCAATTTTAGCATTTAAATGATTAGAAGTCACTCTTACAGAGGGGGATCACTTAGTTTGTTTTATGTGCAACACTCACCAAATGACATTATGATTTATCTCCTGTGGGGAAAGTTTTAAAAAATCAGCTCAGTCAAGTCTGACGTATTTATGGATTTTGAAACCCAGACCTGAGGCACTGACTTTAAAACGGTCCAAAAACAGTGACAGACATGCCAGGATGTAACTGATGTTTGTGTCCAGATTCCCAAATATTTGATGATGTTAGCAATACACAAAGCCAGCAGCACGTTGTTAAATATCATTGAGCTCTGACTTTAACCTTTCAGGTGAAAGGAAAACTCTTTTTTCCAGTGGACTTCTTATTAAACTGGTTAAGCTGGTGGTGACGTGTGGACTTCTGTAGACCTCCTTCATGCAGCAGTATTTAATTTAATTTACCCCGATTGACTGGGTATGTAAACCCATTTAAACTGCTTCATCATGCCTGAAATGAAACCTCCCCTAGACAGTTTCTCTCAACAACATCAGGTTCTCTCCCAGAAGTCAGGGAAGTGAGTCACCGAGTGAGGTGTGATGCACCATTTCAGGAGCTCAAGCTAACACTACCTCACTGCGTCATACAGGTCTTCCCACCTCTATATGATTGCTCAATGTTTAATGTGGCAGCCATACAAGTGGGATTTCCCACTTGTATTGTGAATTCAGCCTCCTTGTCATCCACACTTATAGCCTGTGTTGCATACAACGGGTACTTCAGCTTACATGACAATAACAAGAACAGTATCAGACTTTTCCAAGTATAGTTGAATGTCCTCTGCCAAAGTGTGTGTGGATATTTGTCTGGCTTAATGCAGCTCAGCCTGCGGTATATCTGCAGCCTATCTGATGATCACTTCGTGTGTGTGTGTGTGTGTGTGTGTGTGTGTGTGTGTGACATTCCCACAGTAGCTTCCCTTTAATACAACAACCACTAGCCACATTAAAGACATTTAATGGAACATTAAACCCACTGCACTAATGAAGACCAACCTAGTGTCGCCTGTGTGCTGAGAACTCTCAGTCATTCATATAGTGCAGAACACTTAACATAAAGACGTTGGTCTAGTCCATGCTATGCGTTAAATTATTTAGTGACCCACGATTGATCCATCATGAGCACTTGTCTCTGCAACTGTGGCAAAGAAAGCTGTCTATTAACGGGCAGGACCAGACTCGCTGGTGGAAAGTCGTCTGCCTCTACATGGTGGGCAGAGAAAGTAGATTAGAGGCAGAGGAGCCGCCATGGAGCTTACGATGTGAATGAGGGTAAAATGAACGGAGGTTAATTGGCAAAAATGATAGACGACAGCAAGATATTGTCAGTCAAAGAAAAGACGATAGATGAAGCTTAAAAATACGAGAAACTAACCTGGGTAAATATATTAATCCTACACTTTACTTTTTTTAGGGGCATTGTTTATTCTAAAAGGAGCAATATGTAGTTCCGACACCTAGTGTTTAAAATGGGTACTAAAGTCTAAATTCAAAACATTGTAGAGAGCTGTCTCCCCCAGCCCCCTCTCTGTCTGCATCGGTCTGTAAACCTTTCTGTATTCTAACCTCTCTCCATTTTTCAAAAGCATCTCCAATATTGATCCTAGTTTGAGAGCGTTTCTGCTCGAGGAGCTTATTAGAAACATGCAAAGACTTTTGAGGTCGGGTACAATCACTTCCATCACTACAACACCTGTTGGTTTGACCTGATAACTGCTCTCATATCTGGCAAACCGAGGG